CCCCCCCGATGGTACCTAGGTCACTGCAGTCTTTGATAAGGGCCCTTTGAGTGGCGCTGGCTTGATAGGCGTAGGATGTGGCCTGCCAGTTGCATCCTCTTGCCTGTTATTACGTAGTAAAGGGTTTCTTTATGTCCTCCCAGGCGTTGGCCCTCCGTGACTACTGGCTTGCCCACGTACTGAGTGTGATGTTTGAGCTGGTGGAGTACAGCCTGGAACACCACATCCCAGAGTTTCAGGAGTGCTGGTGGGACCACGTGAGTAACGAGGGATTAATTAGGGGAGAAGCTGGACAATTTAGGGTTTAATAAGACCAATAACTAGCCATTCCTTCAAGTACCAGAGTTATCAACCAAGGATTGAGGTGTTCCTTCTAGTCCTTTTCCGCAATGCAAATGGCACAGATGGACTTTCATGGAAAAAGTTTGAGATTTTGAATTTAAAAGATCGTAACGATGGTCACAATGACACCAGATTGTGGGACAGTATATAAGGAAGTTCATGATGTAAACTGGGGAAACACTTCAACATAAAGCATTCTAAAAACCGGACGTCTTTGCTGTTGGGGTAGCTAAATGTCAACGACTTTAAACCTTCCAAGCAAACATTTGCTTGAATACCAACTGAATGCCCATGGCTGTTTTAAATACATTGTTTCCCCAGTGGATTCTGGATGTGGTCCTGTGTAACAGTCTGGGGATCTGGTGCGGTATGAAGACATTGGAGTATCTGGACATGAGGGTGAGTTTAGTCTCCCTTCTTCGTGTATACATGAAACAGTCTTTGCGACAACCTTAGGGAATGAATACTGGTCTTTTCATTTCATCTATTCATTGCTTTTTCTGTTTAACCAGGGTAGCCCGGCTCTAACCTTTCTACGCTACGTTCGTTTGGATCTTCCGCCAAAAATAAAAAGATAACAGTTTGCAATTTGAATGTTTTTTTTTGCCTTGCAGCTTTACAATTGGCGTAGCCTATGGAACGTCCCGGTCTATCCAAGCAAGAGGACTAGCGACACCTGGAGCCGTATTTGGCGTTTCAAACGTTGCCTGTGCGTCTTCGCGTTCATCGCAAGTGTAAGTGTTTAGCCCCTGTACATGTGTGTCACACTTAGCCGATCGTGGCTATTCTCAAACATGGGGACTTCGGATTTACGTCCCATATCCGGAGGAGAGTCGAGTGAACAAATAGGAGTAAAATAATGCCATGACAAAAAGGGGCTAAAAGTTAAGTAAAATAAGGAGTAAAACGCCTTTCCCAAGCGTCGGCTAGGGATTCAAACCCAGAACATTTACATTTTAGCTCAACAACTCTATTAACCCTTCTACCCCTTAACTGAAGCTAGGAACTCATTGTCACGGGAGTCTAGTGAAGAAATAAAGGTAAAATGTCTTTCCCAATGGCACAGCATTGGGGTCTACTAAGGATCCGAACGCTAAGCCATCAACCTTAACCACGAGTTATCTCCAAACAGATCCCTTTCGGTGGCAAGACAGTATTCATTAGCCAGAGGAGATTGGCCGCCAAAACTCCTCTGGCTAATGGATACTGTCTTGCAATCGAAAGAGATCTGGTTTTTTAGGTTAACCACGATCACCTTGCAAACTTTCTAGCTACTGATCATGGAGTTGAACGCGTTCTACCTGAAGGCCGTTCTGTGGATTCCCATCTCCCACTGGCTGCAGACGCTGCGGTTGGTGCTGTATCTGGTAGGGGGCGCTGTTGTGTCGCGGCGGGTCTACCGGTACATGGACGACCCGTGAGTTCAGAAGTACATTTTGTTTGAGAATGCAGAATATACACAGACATGCGCAAGTCTAGTTACAATTAGATCAGACATATACGCACTTACCGAAAAGAGAATTGTTCAAACATATTATGACATCCAGGAACTACGATGTAAATGAAAAACTATGCAAATTTGTCCATGCTTGTATCAAAAAGAGAGATCTTGTAGATTTGGACTTAGCGCAACAATATAGCACTTGTTCCTCCTACCCTTATACCTCAGTTATCTAACGTAGTCGCGGCATTTGGTCCATGTAGGCGTGAATATGAAATAAATTTCATTGCCATTGTCATTGTTATTACATCCATGAAAATTAAGCACCACAACTACTTTGTTTATGTTCATGTTTCTTCCGTTTGATTTGCTGAACAGGAATTGTGAGCACCTTGCCTATGAAACGTGGATGGCGTGTCTACTTGTGATCACGGAGATCCTGATCATCGTCAGGTTCGGCCCGGATCTGCTGCAGATCCCGCTCCCGGATCACGTGCTGCGCTGCTGGATCGTGGGATTCGTCTGCCTGATGTCATGGGCGGTGTGGAGGTTTTTCATCAGCTAGCTGGGGTATGGATGTGGAGTTTGAGCCTCAGGATGACGTCTACATTGATCCCCAAGCAGATGTTTCTGCGGCTGCAAAACACAATATCAAACTTGCCAACAGTATCCATTGGTCAGGCAGTATTTATTGACCACTTCGGTGGCTAATGGGCATTCCTCTGGCCATTTTGCCTCGCCACGCCATCGTATGATCTTCTTGGAGATTAGTCTACTTATCATACCTGTTGTTTGAAAACATTTACAGTAACTTACCATGTACCCGGGCTCGTTAGTATTGTTGCGCAATAAAGTTTGATTGGTCACTTCATTGGTTATGCTTGATTAATCGATGAACATATATAGCTAGCCCAGTTCTTATAACTGATATGTAAGTCCCTTTGCCCCTATACAGTATCCTAACTGGCCCGGGACTAGACTACCTAATAAAATATCGATGGTTGTTGTACTGAAGTGTCAGTCGCCCTGTCTCCCATACAGTATCTTTTGCTTTAGCCTCTACCAGGCTTTGGAATTAGCTGGAAAGACTAGAAATCGGTCAAATAGACAGATACCAACATGCCAGGAGAGTTGGGAGTACATTTGCCACACCGTTAGCGTGTTATCTGTCAATTTCTACACGAATTCCAGCCACTTCCAAAGCCTGCTAGAGGCTACTTCTACTTGACGTGTCAGTCACCCTGCTACACTCACCCATGCTCGTCCTAGCCGGTACCAGGCTCCGGGAGGCGGCTAGAAATAGTAGAAATTTGTCAATTAGAGAGGTAACATATGCCAGGGGAGTTGGTCCGCTAGAGAGTACGTATGCAGTCTGCCGCATATTAAAGTATACTTTCTAGCGGACTAACCCCTGGCATATGTTATCTCTTTATTTGGCCAATTTCTATCTTTGCAGTCGCCTCTGAAGGCTGGCAGAGGCAATTAATACTTGCTACTTGACGTGTCAGCCACCCTGCTACAATCACCCACGTCAGTACAGCACAGCAGACTGTACTCTCTCACGGACCAGCATATATGTTATAATTTCTACTCTTTCCAGCCGCCGCCCGAAGCCTGGTAGAGACTACGCTGGTCCCACACTCAGTGATCAGTTGCACAAACACCGTAGCCTCCACCAGGCCTTTCTACGGGAATACGGATCGTAGAATTCGGCAAAAAGGAGAGTAAAATATATTGGCCAAGGGAGTCTGCGGGAAGGTAGTTTCTTTCCCTGCGCGGCCAGTCAAACCTACAAGGCGGCCAAACTTCCCCGGCAAAACCAGCGTAGTTAGTCTGGTAGAGACTAAGTCAAACCTACAAGGCGGCCAAACTCCCATGGCAAATATTCTCCCATATATAGCCAGCGTAGTTAGTCTGGTAGAAACTAGCCTCTACAAGGCTTCTGGAGGCGGCTGTAATGAGTAGAAATCGGCCAAATAGAGAGATAACATGCCAGGGGAGTTTCTCTGCTGGGAGAAAACATTGTGCGGCAAAGCCTGGTAGAGGCTAGATAGAGACTACAAACATCGTGCGGGCGTCGCGCGATGCAATGACGGGCAGCAGTCGTAAAAATTCCGGCGTCGGTCGGGAGTCGAACGACTCGGCAAATCTTATCGTGGGGCCAATTACGGTCCTGCCGGTTTATGGGGGTATAAGGTACACACGGGCATTGGGGCGGCCGCGACTTTTACGGCGCGCGGGTTCGCTTTGAAGTCACCCGGCCATTGTTGTGCCGAGTGGTGCGTTTGTGGTTAAATCTAGGCTCGGTTGTATTTCTTTTTCTCTCGCTCCAAACGGACAAAACCGCCTCTGTAGAGCAGCAGTAATAGTCTGCCCTACTGTAGTGTTAAAGGTTGTACGTTGTGTGGTAAAGCGCAATTCGCCATACGGTAGGGAAAAGTTGCCCCGCTCGTCGCCGAGGAAGGCTGGAATGGAGTCCGGATTGGGGTGCAGAGTTCATGATATGTGCATTAACGACTCGCGCTGAAAAGAATTTGCTTCGGGATGACCTCATGTATTCCGCGCCCGGGCCCGTCATATCTGAGACACTAGGAAAGACAGATATGTGACGCTGCCGACGCAAACACCACACCGTAACGCCGACAACACTTACAGGCGACTTTAACACTCCAAATTCACAAACCACGTCTAGACTTCTCCTCTTCACCATCCTGTAAGCTTACATGTATCCTGACTACTTTCCTTTCGCAAAGAATCTGCTGAAGTTTTAGCTGCATAAGAGTTTAAGTCGTCGGTATCCCTGGTTTCCTCCGGCTTACGTCGGGTTGACATAGCTAAGCACTTTATAACTGATCTCAATCTTTCCCCGATTTATTCCGCCCGCTCTGTGTGACTTTTTAATGAACATTAATACGGGAGCAAACAAATAGCGCGAATTCAGGTTGATAAATTGCACATCAAGCATTCATGGGCGGGAGGTTGGTCAGTAGGAGACGGGGCGTTAGTTTGAAATTTCCTGCCCGATTTCTTCTTAAAATTTGCACTTGCGTAATGAATTAATCTTTATCACATATTCCTGCCCAAATGGGCTAAATGAACATAACATGCGACCAAATGTGGTCTATGAAACATGGAGTATTGAATACTGAAACGCTACATTCTAATGCTAAGTGCTAAAAGTCTATATATTACAACAATACTTTATACTACTCTATAATAATGGGAAAGTCTAGTCTCTACTAAGACTCCAATGGGTTGCTGAAAATTTATCATTGGCTAGTAAATAGACCACATGACATGCCCGATGACTTAGTCGGCCATAGGAGCACACTCTACAACCCATATTTAATTCTTCTGGCATATCAATCATTCTATTTTGCCAGTTTCAAATGAAATGTTTTCAGAAACCCATTGGAATCTGGAAGAGACTAGACATTTTTCCTATCGGTATTCAGGTGTTCCCTTTCAGCCTCTTCGACGGCCCCTTAAACATGCAGTCTTGTTCCATGCCACTAACTAAAGTCCCTGTCACCCATAGCCGACCTTGGCCTTCCAACCTTCTCCTCCTCACCTCACCTCACCGGTCCCAAATCAGACCATGGTTTATATATAATAGGAGTTGAACCCTGTCACACACATGGCCTCGGATCCCGACATTCTCCAGACCATGGTTGGGAGTTAGTCGTGATCTAGTTCATCTGTGATTGGAAATTGGTCAGCGAAGTCGCCTGTCAATCTTCAAGAGACGTCTGCGCCAACCGGTTATAAATTTTGAAAATCAAACTCTTATTCTTCATAGATGCGACCAGAGGAGCGAACTGAAGCTGGAACAGCATAAATTCCAGGCTACTCCCGACCCAGTGCCGACCATCGTCGGGAAGTGGTGGGGGCAAAATCGCGGGAAGGTCCTGAGTGTGTGACAGGGGTTACAACATCGCTACGTCGCTACCCTACAACAGGAACTACTTGACTAATTTGCATCTTCTTGTCTTGACTTGTCTAACTTTGTTTCCTTTTGGACTTTCAAAAAAAAAACAATTATCTTCACTTATTTCCTTATCAATCAATAGTTTGTACTTATAAACCTGCTTTTCTGACAACTCTCCAGTGTCACTGACGACAGGTAGTGGATGCTACCTGAAACGTCTGACCGTTTCCAAAATCATATCCAGTTGCTTGCTGCCATGAGTAACTATTTTTTTTGCGTATAGCATCAACATTTCACATGGTCAGCCCTTTCTAAGTTTGCCTGGAGATTTGGGCCTCCCGGAATGCTCCCATCAGATACCGTTAAAAAGAGAAGCCCACTTGAGGTCTCCACTTCCACTTGTAGGTCTGTAACCCGGAGACTTTAGCTGGAGTCGGTCCTACTTATAACTCTGTAGCCTGGAGACTTGAAACCCAGCAAAAATTCATAAGACGTCATTCGAAAACAAGTTCCACGTTTGCTGGACGAGATTAATCGATAAACAGCAAATTGAAAAATAACGCACATGTAATGTATTTTGTACAGTCGTGAATTTACACGCCCGAGGTGTATATTTGTTATGAGTTGTGGGGCCTCGGCGGTAACAAAACGTTGTTAGGTCGAAAACAACGGCATACTTTCATCTGTTGTCCGCAAACAGTTTTGCAAACAGTTCGATTAAAATGTCTCTCTTCCCCGAACGCATCAGCG